TTCGAATAGTATGCAGTATTCGAATTATCGAATATTCGAGTATTCGAATTATCGAATATTGGAGTATTATCGAATATTCGTAACAGCCTTAGTACCAATTTTTTTGAAGATATACTGCAAAAGAAGAACCTATTCCGAATTGACGTTACATGGCTCTTAAGGGGCTCGAGCGTCTCAGATTACAGTTTAGGCTACCGATACAGGGGTACTTTTACAATTTAATGGTTTTGCGAGGACACAGTATCGTGCCCGTCAACTATACCACTTTGAGCAGGGATAAACAAGACACCACGGTATGACTTTCAGACAAGAGTTTCTTTCTTGGAGGGAGAGAGAGAGAGCAATCGACGAATGTAGCCTGGAATCATGCGTGTTCCTCCAGGCGTATACCCTGCTCCCTTTCTATTTAAACAGCCGATAGAAGAGGCAAACACTCTCGCTTTTACAGCACCGTAAACAGCCGCGCGCGTGCTGAAGACACCGCGATCAGCGCTACCAGCGTAACCGCCACGGATAAACAGACGGAAGTCTATTTACAAATAGAGATATCTTAATCGTCCCACGCGGGCGCGACCAGCATGTACACCGTGTGTTCGATCTTGTCATTCCGTGACGTTCGGTTCCGCGTTTCTCAATGGGAATTCGATCGGTTCCAGGTGTAACGAACGGATTCCAGGACTCGGGACCGTACTCTTTAACCCTCTTAGTACCCGCAAGCCAAAATATCGGGTCTACGGTCTTTATCAAAAATACCTTGAGCCGATATTTCGGCTTTTTATATGTAATACAGATTATAAATTCTGATACAGAAAGTGACGAAAGTATAATACTTCCAACATTTTTTATGTAATATACAATACACTGCAGTGTATAATACAAATTGCTGTGATGGTATCTTTATTTTTGGAAAAAATATGTTGGTTTTAATAAATATCTTCAAGAATGCATGTGTTCCAAGGTATTTCTAGGTGGTACACAGAAGAATTGTAAGGTATTGAAAGGGTTAATAACTTTGTCACGAACGTATATATGTGTATGTGCCTTCATAAATAGTTGTAAACACGATACTCCTTATTTCTTGAAAAAAATAGTAACATTCAAATATTGATAATATACCGTGATCGAATACTTGTGAACCGTAGTGTATTCCATCAGGGACCGTCCAAGGTCGTGAGGGTTTCGGGTGAAACTGCGGTTCCATCGTGCGCGCTCGAGAGAAACTCGTTCTTCTCCTCCGGCTTCGCTTTTCGTCCCGGGGATCCGGGTACACAACGAGGATTCACGCAGCTCCGATACGAGCGTTCCGCGGAGGCGTACAAACAAATATCCTCCCGATCCCCAGGAAGTTTCGTGTACGAAAATACACGAAGTGTCTGGGAATCGGGATGTTTTCGACTAAATATTTGAGACACCAGAAATGGATCTCCGCCCTCTAGCGTCCATAAACAAATCCTCTAGATTAGTCCTAGTCACGATATATTCTTCATTCGACTGGCATCGAACCACATCGACAATCAGTTTTAACCTCATAGTTTCACGGTAGGAGGGGACAATCGTTGATAATCCAACAACAAAAATTGGAACACCTATAGGGGAGCTACAGTAAATCCTCGATGAGTGTTCAAAGGTTCTTATTAATATTTCATAAACCAATGGCCACACACGGCTGAAACAAATATCATTGGCTTCAGAATTCCAAGCTCTATCACTGTGCCAAACCTCATTAAAAAGTAATCGTTACACCTGGAGACCTCTCCTTGTCAGTGGTAGAGGAGTCTTCGGACAATAATCGTGGATTTACTGTACTTATAGATATTTTCAGCTTAACCGATCGAATAAGAGACCCGGTGCGTTTCTGCGTGGCATCGCGCGGTGGCTGACAAAGCGGGTTCCCAGCTCGAAATTACGAGGAGAGGATCATCGTGCGTGCGCGCGTGTGTATACCGCAGGCGTAGGAGGGAAGGGCGACCGGCGCGTTCGAGAGAGAGAAAGAGAGAGAGGACGGGAGGAGGAAATCAATGCCACCGTCTGCCGCGGGAGAAGAGAAACTCTGGTCGTGTGTGTATCGGTGAGTTTTCGCCCGGTGTCCTCTGTTTGTGCGCGCGCGGAGAGACGACACACACGCGGCCAGAAAAATTCAGACGGGCCCCAGGACGGTCCTGGGCCCACCGAGAGAAATAGGGATGACGAAGTACGAATGCAGAGAGATAGAACGGGAGAGAAATAAAATCGTGAAGGAAAGAGAGGGCAGAGTCAAGGCTCCGGCGAGGTGTACTCACTCCTCGGCTGCTAACGTAGCGTAGCCGCCACCGTATTCTTCGTTCTTCCTTGCCGGGGGATTTCGACCCGATGTATGGTGTAATTCCTCGGTGGAGAAAAACCTTGTCAAGCTCCACCACCACTGTCTTCGATTCGTCTGGATCAGTCCTTTACGTGCGGCCCTGCTGGAATCCTTTCGGAGCCGGCACAAAATCGAAACACGAGGGTTACCGACAGAGAAGAGAAACACCGATATCAAAACGGGGAGCGTATTTGAGGACAGGCCAATACGCCTCGTACGACACTCTACGCGACACTGCCTCTAGATTAGACGACTCCTTTGCGGCTAGGTGGGCAGGGGATGATGGAGGGGGCGCATCGAACGTGTGTACGTATGTACCGAACTGAAAAAGGGAGGGCAAACCACCCAACGCTCCGTTCTCGCGGGTGTCTCGAGCCTGACTGACGCACCGGTCTAGCCGGCGGACCGCCCGAACCCCAAGTTCACTCTCCCTCCTTCTCTTCTTCGTTTCCAACGCGCGCGTTCTTTCTCTGTCTACGTTGGACTCGATCGTGGCCCGCGGTCTCTCCGCGGTGTCTTTCTCTCCTTCTTCGTTCTTCGATCACTATACATATAACATGTACTCCTCCGACCCTTCTGGGTCTCGTTCTCTCCATATCCCTGGTTCCATCCTCTCCTTCTTCCATCCACGATTTTTACCCTCCACTTTACTCTGTCCACCGTCTCTGTTTTCTGATCTCTCTCTCTAATTTTATCTCCTCGTCGTCTCCCTCCACGGTGCTCTCCCCCACTATACACTTCTCTACCACCCATGACTAGCTTCGTGTCTCTCTTCTATCGATTGTTTCCATCCTTGTTTCACTCGCTGACTGGCTGCTCCAACGCCCACCACACACACACACACACACACACACACATATATAGGGTGGTACCGTCGAGACGGCGCGCTGCTGCCCTTCGCCAGGACCTTCTCTACCACCACGGCGGAATCGCAAGGATCGCGACCGCGTCGTTTATTTCGATTTGTCGCGCGGGCCCAGATATGTATACCTGCGGCCTTCCTGCGAATATACTGGCCCGACAGCGAGTCCAACCGTTTGTTTAAGCGAACTTTTTTATGCACCACCTTTGTGCTCCCCGACAGGAACGGTCTCTTTCTATCTGTCTCGCTTCTACGCTCCTTTTCCTTAGCTCCCCCTGGGTAGTGCCGAAATTGCGGATAATTCCCTTACGGCGGGGCCACGGATCGATCCGTGGCCCCCGAGAGCGTTTCGAGACGCCTGAACACGCCTCTTCTGGTTCGGATTTTTCTAGGCCAGGAACTACCTAGACGGTGCTGCGTCGTAGGAAACAGCCGCGACCTTGTCCTCGACGGAGGGAATGATTTTCGCAAGAATGAAATAAAAGAAGGTAATTCCAGGGAAACTGGACGGGGTTGCGTAACCGTGAAAGGGTTATCTCGCAATCAATATCAACCTGCTCGACGTTTTTCGTTCGGGCTCGAGTGGCCGTCACCCCCTCTACGGGGTGTTAAAACGTACATGCTCCGGAACGGTCCGCCTGGAAATTGTTTCGTAGAGAAAAATTTGCAATTTTTCGTAAAAAGTTGTTAAAGTTGCTACCAAGCGGAGTCTTGTTACTGTCGAAAATAGAATTCTTCATCATCTTGCTTCTTATTGGTATATATACACTTGACAAATGATGATTGTGTTCTGTTATACTCAGAAGCAAGTTCGAATACAGGCCGGTATCAACTTGTGATTCCCGTCAAATCTAACACTATTTGAACTCCCATTAATCAAGACCTACCTGTACAAGTTGCAACTTCCTTCACACCCTGTACATCGCGCTCGCGTTCCCCGTGTGTTTTAACAGCGCGAATATTAATTTTTCATCCGACGTGGGTACTTGTTGAGCAGCTTGTGTTTTCACGCTCGAGGAGGTCCGAAGGGTTTCCGGAAACGGGAAGATAAATTCGAGGGACGTCGAGTACAGCGCGATTTGTTGCCGCGCGAGGGGACACGCCTGGGTCTTTTCCGCGCCCGTTATCTGCTTAACGTCGCTGATTAATCGCGGCCACGAGATATTAACGAGGGACATTCGTTTCGATAACTACACCGCGCTTTGTTCGATTACGTTCTAACGAGGTCCCGACCGTAAGTCGCTTCATTTATGAGCACGACCAAAGGAAATGCGGAAGAATCGGAGACGCAGTGTGTATGGAAGCCTTTCCGGATCACAGTTCGATGACCCATAAACCATTGCATTAATAAACTATAAAAGTCGAAGTTATCTTGTAATCTGAGAGCAAATAAAACGATTAAGGTAAAATATCCATAATGCAATTCTTCGAATGCCCGTAGTATGTTGATCCATCACGTGGGAACGCAGCTTAACATCATTATATACCTTATCTTAGAAAGTGTACACGAACTAGAACAAACGATTCGGTTATATAACGTCCGATTCCTTTTCGCCAAATATTAAGCACTTAACTGCCTAATGGATTTCAGTTAGGAGAGCCACAAAGAAGACTTGCTTACATAACAGCATTGCAGAATTTATGTATTTAGTTCGAATATGTTTTTACAATCGTGGGCCGCTACTGTATAAACGAGAGCTACAAGGATCATTTGTTATTGCAGTTTCGAAAGGAACGTGTTCCAGTTACAACGGACAATTCACTTTCACCTAGCTTCCAGCAGTAATTCATTCGAATTTCCCGGGTTGTCTAAATTGTAGGAGGGATTCAGGGAACAGAGGATATAGTTTTAGTCGCGTGTATCGTCAATGTGTTCCATCTCCATTCGGGACGACATCGCTGATCAATCCTCTCAGGTCCGTGAACGCAGAAGGAACCGTGTCAGGTCGAGACGCAGGAGTATTACGCGGACGATTCTTAACCCTTTACGTACTTTATTTCATTTCGAAAACGTGCACTTGTGTGCTTAATTATTTTTAAGCTATGACGAGTATACTCGACATAAACATCGAAAGGGTTAACAACATAATACGCGGAGCCGCCGCGGTTTCGTATACATTCCCAGAATATTACACCCATACCACGACGTGTTTCGATTCGCCTAACACGAGAGGTCCCCGTGTATGAAAGTTGAACGCGAGCCAACCAGCTCCGGGTCGGAGTCTCGAATGGTCACGTGCACCGTGGGGACCCTATCTAGCTGCTGGGCTGCTTCGCCGTCTCGTCCGCGACGTCCTCCATCTCCACGTTGTCGGCGTTCACCACCTTGATTCGATCCGTTGGCTTCGGCCGCATCAGGATGAACGGCAGCTCGGCGGACAGCTCTCCGCCTAGCGCCCCGAGATACAGCTTGACCTTGACAGCATAGGAAACCACGATGCCGAAGGAGTCGCGCACGTCCGGCGAGAGTAGCAACGTGCTGGATGCCAGCTCGCTCTCTTCCCTCTTCAGTCGGCCATCCAGAGCGATGCCCCGACGGTTCTTGTTGTTCTCCAGGTCTGGTTTCAAATAGATCACCTTCTGCAAGTTCGAGCCGGGATTTATCGGGCAGCCGTCCTGCGACTCGACCGCGTCGATCACCGTCCGAAATTGACCGTTCTGGAAGATCACCACGTCGATACCTTGTTGGACCAGCGCTTTCATCTTCTTGACCACCTTGTTGCTGTTGTTCTTCACGCACACGTTCACGGCTATCCTCTCGCCGTGATGGTACAGTTGCTTGTCCAGAGTCACCTCGAGCTCTAGATCGCCGGGACTCAGTAGAAAGTCCTTTCGCACCACGGTGCACGGCTGACGACCCTGTTTCGTAGGCGCATACTGGATCTTCCTGATGCCCATCGTCACCGTGCTGCGTTTATGGGTGATGTCAGTTTCAGTGTCGCCGGAATAAATCTTGACATAGTAGCTGACACCGCAAGGTTCGCCCGTTTCGTCCTCACCTGGCTGTAGGGTCACGCTGGATGGAGCGCTTTGGGGGATCTTGAAGGTGAACGGAACAGCATTCGGACCTAGTTTCCTTAGTAATCGTTCTTGTAATCTCGTCAGGTTATCTTCTGGCTTTTGAATGGTTGGGAAGAGCTGCTGGGAGACTAGGTAAAGATCCTTTTGGAAGTTCAGACCCATTACCTCGTCCTCCTCTCTGCCGTAGCGAAAGCTGCAGATCAGCTGTCCCCATATCTTTCGGCCGGTGTCGATGTAGTTCTGATCCAGCAGTATGACGCCATCCACTGGCTCGATTCCAGATAAATAATCGATGTAGTCCCTCTTACCGAGGTACAGAGCGATCTTGTCATTTGGTGAACACTTCTTAAACACCTTGAAGTTCATCACCATACCAGAGTGCGTCGTAGTATACCCTCCGATCGTTTCTATCACCGTCGACGACTGGAACGCGAGGGTGGAATCCTATTCTTATATATGGACGCGGGACCAGTGACGTCAAGCTCTTCAGGGGCTTCCGAATCCATTCAGCGTCGCGGATAAACAACCGTCTTTGCTCGCGACGTTGCTAACCTTTTTGCGTGTTGGCTAAAGCTGTTATAATCTTTGGTAACTTTCCTACTCATCGGTAATCAACGTTAGGATGTGAAATACTTACTGAAGGTGGTGTTTAATTTTCTCAGTGTACATCTTAATACGTTTAGAACTATCAGTGGTTTCATTAAACATTTTCTTAATTCTCCTTCAGTTCTAGATTCATGAATTTTTACAACGAAATAGGAATCCAGGGCAAGTATACGTTTCCTATACAGTGTTCAAGGGAAATCTCTCCCCCGTTGACTTTGAATAGGGGACATTCTGTCATCTGTACATATGTATGTATTAGGAATTTTTTGAAATTTCTTAATTCGATTCTTTAATCCCTTTATATTATATTCTATTGACTCAAGTGAAATGAGCAATTCGGTAATGAAAGAATAAGATGAATTTTTTAATCAATGAGAGCTGCGAAACTGGAGGAAGAGACATTACCTTTAGTAGGTAGTGCAGAATGAAATTGATAAGTTAGACAACTGTTTCAAAGAATTCATGTTTTATCGGTAACGCCGGGTATTGACACTAAAAAGGTAATGGTTCCTAGGACCCCACAAAACTGGCCACGAAAATGCATTGGATGAGAAATCTATTCATATAACTTGTCTGTGGTTATGCGTTCAAGTTCTTGCTAAATTCTAGTTCCTTCTATAATTTTTGGTACACAGCAACTGATTTTTAGAGACGCGAGTGACACCATTCACAATCATTCGAAATTAAAAATGTCAGAAAGTACACATACTAATATAGATATTGTGAGTAATATTTTACTCAATCAACGTTTTATATTGTACTTTAACATAATTATTTTTTCAAGGACTTTATTTGCTTTTGAATTAAAAAGACTGAAACACTTTGTCACACCTGCACTGGCAACCAATGCAATTACTATATTAATCATTTTATTTATAATGGATTTTCCTAAGTACAGCTGTAACGCTGAATAAAAACCTTGTACATTTATTCAATTGTTTTGATTTTAGGTACAGCCCATGCCTGTGGCCATACCACCAGGTTCACCCAAAAAACCAGTGAAATCTACTGCAGTTGTTAAATACTCTGTTGTTCAGACACCGGCAACGTATGCTCAGTTGCAATGCAACACAGATTTAAATTTACCACCGAGCAATTGGCTCAGCAGTTCTGCGGAAAGTTATGGCCTACAGAGTGTATGGTCTCAGACCTCTGGGTTTTCCAGTTTCCGTATGGCACACATGTTTCCTGATTGTGTTGGGGAAGTGGACGTTGTGTCAGATGCAGAAAATATAAAAAAATTACTGAAACTGCCATATAATCATGGTGTGATATCTATGATGGTTCACAGAATTGAAAACACATTATTATTGGATGACTTTGACATTCATAAATATTTACTCAGACAAGCAGAGAGTGATTGGGAGTGGCTAAAGAAATTCTTCTACGAGCATATTTTCCAGGATTTGGAAGACAAAGAAAAGTGTTTATTTCGCAAGACAAACAACAGAAACACTTTACAGCAGAGAAATTTAGTATCCAAGTTCTTATATCACTCTATAGTAGTGGCAGACAATAAAGAGCAACATGCAAAGCCACAGTTACCTGTGAAAACATTAGAACCTTGTTTGCCAGAACCTTCTCAAGAGGAGAAAGTACCAGATCCAAATTACAACCATAATTTTGCTAGAAATATTGTTTGGACATTTGAAAACATACAAATGTTGATTGGTACAGACATACCAATATTTGGGGGACAGACACATCCATGCATAAGTCTACGTTTAAGGGATATGACTAAGCCTATTAATGTTTTAACCGGTATTGATTATTGGTTGGACAACCTTATGTGTAATGTCCCAGAAGTAGTCATGTGCTATCATTTGGATGGTATAGTCCAGAAGTATGAGTTGATAAAAACAGAAGACCTGCCAAATTTGGATGATTCGAAGTTTAGTCCTAAAGTTATTAGAGATGTTGCACAAAATATTTTAAGTTTTCTAAAAAATAATGTAACAAAGGCTGGACATACTTATTGGCTGTTTAAAGGTGTGAAAGTTAAATACATAGATGCAACAACTATATACTATTTGTATGAATTACATTTCCTAATTTTTTTTGTTCTGTAGGCAAAGACGATGATGTTGTAAAGCTGTATGATTTAACATCTTTGTGTCATGATGTATCAGATGAAAAGGGTCAGAATCCATTCATTGTGCCAGTTGCTATGTTATTGTACAGAGTGGCACGAAACATGAAGTATTCTTCTGACTACCACAGACAGCAGGGCACTATTAGAATGCTCTTGAAAAATTGCATTCAATTATTGACTAAAGAAAAGTATCCTCAGATTGTAACATCTGCTCACTTTATGTTGTCTGATCTTTATATACCATCAGACACAGACCCTGCTAGTCCAGGGCTTTCTGACCAGAGCGACGAAGAAGATACTCAAAGTGAATCAAGCACAAATCATGATAATGACAAGGATGAGGAAGAAGATGAAAGAAGCGAGGAAGCTGCCATAAAGTCTTTAACACTAGCTAACAGTCAGTTAAATATTCGTTTTAAGTAAGTTAAGAATTTTATCATGTGACTAATTCAATTGTATTTTAGTTAAAGAACATAAGACTTGTGAAGAACCTAAGTACAAGCCACCTCCTATTTCGGGTACAGTGGAAGAAAGGTGTTTAAGTGCCTTAGAGCATGTCTGCCAAGGACTGGAATGTTTACAGTATTTTCCGACCGAAGATAATTCCGAGGAAGACCGAAATAACGTAGAGGAGGAAGAGAAGAAGAAGAAATATGAAGAGGCTCATTTGAACATGGCTAAACCTTTTCAAGCAATACCTATGCCTTATTCCCCTTTGAAGGATGATAAGAAAGAAACGGAATCCAGGGAGAGTTCTGTGACCAATAGTTCCAATCAGAAAAAGAAATTGAAACAGAAAGAGAACAAAAAATCAGAGAAGGTTGTTTTGAAAGATGCATCTACTGAGAATGTAGCGAAAGCATTACTGTGTAAACCTAAAGCTGAAACATTGCCCACTTGGCAAGCTCCCAAGAAGAGTGATAACATTAGTTGGAGTGCTCACTTGAAAACATTGTTATACGAGAAGGCTTCGTTGATCTTTGCCGTACTCGCTGAACATGAATACGTGAATAGGAATTACGGCGCCTCACTGAGGTATATGTTAGCAGTTCTACGGTGTCAACAAATCTTAGAGCTCTTTTGTGGAATAAGAAACGACAAATCGATCAGTTATTTATTGGGCCGCGCAGGGGATTGTTGCTTTATGACTGTGCAGGATTGGTGTAACATAGAGAAGCATAGAAGCGATTATGAAATGAAGAATGAAACCGAGGAAAAACTAGTGGAAGGAATCTGTAAAATGGAAGATCTGGGCATGAGTAATTTTGTTTCTTTTAAGACGTATAAAATTCTTCGTTCAACGCAAATGATCATATAAATTATTTTTTTTTATTCAAGATGATGCTGAATTACTACCACAACATTTAGAAAGCTTAGAATCTACTCTAGTAGCGTCCTATAAGTGTTACGAGAAAGCGTTATCGCTAGAACCATTGGAAATGGATAAAAATAATCTTTTAAGGCGATTAGGGAACATTCACAACGAGTTAGGTGTTCTCTATATGAATCAGGCTGGAAGTAAGTAAATCCATCTATATACATAAGACCTTTAGAATTAATGAGTATGAACTTATGCACAATGTTTCTATGTTTACAGCGCGATATCAGCAAGAAAGTATAGCTTGTGAGGCATCAGGGTCTACGCCTGATGATGTAACAGTTTTACTTAGTCGCTCGCTCACTCATTTAGAAGCAGGAGTTAAGGCTTTCGAAACTGTCCACGACAAAGCGAATTTAGCACTTTTACATTCAAATACTGGAAGGCTTATGCGACTTTGCGCACACATGCACGTCAAACAAAACACTCAAGAGCGTCATTTTTACAACAAAGCTCTAGCAAGCTATCAGAAAGCACTACAAGTCTTGGGATCTAGGAAGACGAACCTTGTGATTTGGGATACTGTGACGTGGGATCTATCTACCACATTGTTCACTATGGCTACACTGTTGCAAGACTACCCTACAAGTGGATGCAAGGTACTTTTCGTATCTGTGTATTTAGAATTGATTCGATGATCATTTCGCTGTTTATAGAAATTATTCTTTCAGACCAAAGAAGAGCTGGAACGAGAAGTCGTTGATATATTGCAAAAAGCTCTAAAACATTGCGATACAGAAACAGCAGGACTACGGCAACCCGTTTATCAATTCCGGGCAGCGACCATTCAACATCGTCTAGCGTCTTTGTATCACCGTGTATACAGGGAATATGAACCAGACACGGATAATACTAGAAGAAAAACAAGTTTGCAGCTATGCAAGCTGTACTATGAGAAAGCTGCAAGGCTCTTGCTAGCATTGGAGCAGACCACAGAGTTTCTGACGGTTCAAATGGAAAGAGTTGCTTTGGCTGATCATCAAGCACGTTGTACGTTATTTTCCTAAAGAAATTATGGTAATTCTATCCTCGATTTATGTAATGGTCTGATAATATTATGTTTTGTTTCATCCACAGGTGCTACAACCATTAATGGAAAATTGAAAGCCTATCAGAATGGTCTTCAACTGATACTACAGTGTGGATCCATTATGGATATGTTGTGTGAAAGAAATAACTTTCAAAAACAAAAAACTGAGAGTACAAATGACATCAGTAATAAAACAGGGAAAGAAATCATAGAGGGAAAAGGTAGTGAAGACCAGAAGTTGACGGAAGATGAAGAAAATCTAGTGGCGTTGCTTGAACAGAGATTGCAATTTATCTTGAGAACTCTGACCAAACTATTTGTCACAAAAAACAGTAACAGTAATAAAAAAGAGTATGTGTTTCATGGTAGAAATGTTCAGTAGTCAGAATATAAATTAATCTAATTCTTTGAAATATTTCAGGTATGAAACACTGGTAGGTCTCTACAAACAGTGTTATAGTCGATCGTTACGACTAGTCACCATGACTGGTTTCACGTTAATAGAGCACGTTGCACAACTTTTACGAGAATTGAAGAAAATGTTACCGTCTACGGAATGTTGAACACTTATGCATGTGTACATATATATGTTGTATCTGTAGCAGTTCGAAGACTAACGCGCAAAGTCTCGATCAACGAATATGACTCCTTCCTAAGATTGGTTTTTTCAATCTTTCAAAGGTCTTTACGTCGCTATTAATGCTGGTCGTTAACGAGAGAAATGTTCGTTAATTCGCTTTGGCGTCCCGGAATCCCGAGAACATTTTTTATTCTACTGTGTAAATAGTCAGATCAAAGCTTTTATTTATCTATATATAAAATGATTCATAAATGAGAAATAAATAATCTCTATGAGAGATCCTAACATTATTTGTTCAAAGTGTCTTCACGAAAAACAAAGAATTTCGTATGTATATATATTTTGAAATACTGAACATTTTCTCCCTTTCCCGCCATTGAATTCCTTCCCAACGGACTCGATTTGAGACCATTAAAATATCTGTCGATTTACTTGATATATGTATTCTCTGCGTACGATTTTTAGTGATAATTGTTCACGAGTTTAAACTTGATGCATTTATTTATATTTTAGCGTATATAAATAAGAAAAACTTACCAAATTTCTTGTTGAAATCTGGAGCCGCGTTCCACACACAACACTTTCACAAATCATATTGCAAACTGAAGAGTGCACTTATTGCCGGTAGGCGGCGCGACGGTTTGAAAGTATTTTCGCGGGTTTCTCGGACAGGACGGTTGACCGCACAGTAGCTCAGGAGTAACTTTTATATTGTGAAACAGTGTAATATTTAGTTAGGACCGTGGCAGATGTATTGAAATTTGAAGCTTCACGACACACTTCAAAAAATAACATAAAGATGGTAAGCGTACGCTTATGAAACATATCACGACAAGATGAATAGCGTCACCGAAGTTCCAATGAACTTTCGGACGACGATGTACATATTTCGTTTAAGTTTTTGGTCTATACGAACTTGCAGGTGTGGCTCGATCTTCCAAAGATGAAAGACTCGTTTATTAGAGAATTCGCGATGAGACTTTTTGCGGGTCAACCCGATTATGGAGAGCAGCTAAGGTAAGCTTTTTACACCGTATGTAACTCTTGCGGCCATTGCGCGGTTATTGCAGCGCATGACGTCACAGGTGGACCGTTGGAAATTTGAATCGTTCTCTAAGCGTAGATATAAATTCGAAATTTCACATTTGAAATTTGAAACTATTCCGTTGTCGTTATCGGGATTTTAGTTTTCGTGGTTAAACACATGCAGCCTGAATTATTCAGCGGACCAAACTCGTTTATCACCTCTCAGACTTTTAACCGGTGTCAATCATTAACGGCAAAATACATTAGCCGTGCCATTCACGTCGTAATCGTCGATGAAACTGAACAAAACTTTTTTAAACATGCTTCGAAGCGATTTTACATTGAACGCCAGTCACCTGCCACTTAATCAGTGTCGCGTCTATTATGGATTTTCATGTACAGCGAAGCGATTAACGAATTCGTAAGCAACAATTCAGGGGTGTAAATTGTTGCCTAAGGTTAGGTTAATATATTTATAGAAAATCGAAGCTTGTATTCCATAGACTACCTTATCATTCTGTCTCTAAACTTTCCGTTAATTTATAAGCAAATACTACCTTGATGTGCAACGAGGAAACAAAATACTGTCGTGAGCATAGGTTGTTCGTTGCGATCTTGAGTAAAAACGGATGCTGGTAGTTGTAGTTATATGGATAACTGTCGTGAACAGAAATAGAGAACGTATAAATTTTAACGAACACAATGGTCAAGGTGATCGTACGTTCAACCTATTCATTTTTAGAAAGCCGGAGAACGAATTTGGAACGCTCGTTCTGCCGAAGATCGATGAACAACGAACAGCATTCGGCCGTCGAGATATAACAATTCCAGCTGTCAGTCGCATCCCTCACGCTCGAATGGATTCGTACACCCCCGGGGGGTAGGTGTGGGGGCACGGGGCTGTGTCAAAGACAAAACAAAAGAATGTAAAGAAAGGTCGGTTCCGATTTGCGTTATCTTTCTCCGTTGCATCACCACCGTTCTCATTCTTTCTCTCTCTCGTTCACCAATCTCGTTCCGTTCCCTCCGGACGTCCGTGGCTTGACCTTTCGACGATTTCATCCCCCGGGCCTTCCGTTCTGGCCTGGACCATTCCTCGGCAGTCACTTCCTCTTTTAACGTCTCGTCCCGTCGAGAATGCCATCCGAGAAAATACGTCGACTGTTTTCTGATCGTTTTCTCCTTTTTCAGCCGAGAATTCTGGTGCTTTTTAAACCGACGATGTATTCTTGCCTTTTAAATCTCAAGTATATTCAGATCGGTGACGGATTATTCGATTAAACTTTGCTTATTAAATACCTTCCTGGCGATAGTTCTCGAACAAGTTCAACTATTCGTAAATTGATTTCCGATGAATTTCTTTGTGTAGACAGTTTTTTTTAAAAATTGATTTATCGACTCGATTAGATGGTAAAGCAATGATTTTATTGGACGCGTTTCTCATTAATTCTTGTATGTGGAGTCTTTCAGCGTTATCGTCGGGCCAAAAGCTGAGTTAATTGCACGTGGTTTGCGTTCACCGGAACGCGAACGAGGTTGTTTAATCTCTTTCCCGGGGGGTCAACCCATATATCGCTCTCGATATTAAATCCAGCGAAGAGCTATTACTTCGAGCCGTTCTGTTGCACCTGTTTGAACCATTACACCACCGTTGCTATATTATTCGAGAGAAAAGAATATAAGGGAATAAAATTCAGAGGGGTTGTAGGATCCACGTGAACTCAAACATCAAGAAATCTACCCTTGATTTTATATTCATAACCTTTAGACCCTCGGAAAAAATACAAGTTTGTTCGTGGGGAAATAGTACATTTTAACATCAACTGTCCGGTTGGCTTACAAACCGGCAACTTTATCAAAATGCAAGAATACGAGTTGCAAGAGCGAGTACTAAATAACCAGAGTCTACAGGTAGACACAGAAGCCTTTAAATAAACAATTTCAAAAAGAGCAACCGTAGACGGTACTGGAAAATTTTGAAAATCAAGGGTCGGCCTCTACCCCCTTCCCTCTGTCGGTTATATGGGCCGCATTTTTCCCCGTACGTGTCCAATATCCAAGGCGTATTTGCGCTCGTATTTTCAAGCGAAGTATCACGCTGGAAGATCACACACGCCTCCCGAAGAAACCTGCGGAAACATTTTTTTTTCAACGGGCCACACACACCGTCGGTTTTCCGCGGGAGTGTCATGTTTCACGGGTTCGTCCAGGGGGTAGGGTTGGGGGTAGATCCAGCCCATTTGTCTCCGACCACGTTCGTTATTTGTTCTGCTCCACCTTTCCAGCCCACCATTCCCCGCGCCTCCCTTCATGGATTCCACGTCTTCCACAGAGGGGGTGGCGTTCCCAGCCAGCGCAAATATTAATCCGCAAAGAAATTCTCGCCGTGGAGAATCGAGCAATCCACCCTCGTCTACCTTCCATCTTTTCTTCGGGTCTACGGCCCCCTTATCTGTCTGCCATCGGCCACGCGTGCAATTTCAACCCCGCGGGCGGGTTCGTCGTTCACCGGGAATAGGAATTGCCCGTGGATTCTACGGTTCTTTTTCGAGTTGAGAAACATAAACGGGGGGGTTAGTTTCGTGGTGAATCAAACAGTGGACCTGATCTTTCGTTTGGTTAACGTAGGGGAAGGTTGCTGAATTTTGACCTTGCTTTAGACAATATGTGTTCCATATAGGTACTAAGTTCGTTAATCCAATCACCACTATCATACACGTATTGCCTAACGTAAGGTCCAAATTACTTACCCACGACAGTTACAGTAGCGGTCCAAATTCGGCAACCTTGCCCTAACTCGTGATTAACGAAGAAAAACGGAAACAGTCAAGGAGTTTAATAAGGAAGGCGTCTGCACGCAACGGAAACGGTAATCATTCCGGAAAAAGTTTCCCTTTCCCGCGGATTTAACTACAACCGGGGTGCGCGCACCTCTCGTAAACTGCGCAATAAACGAAATTGCGAAGTTGAGTAGCCGCTTTGAAAGCTCGGGAAGCTTGGTATTATTTCCTCTGGTCGCTCGTCCACGCTCGACCCTCTAGCCGGCGTCTTTTGCGCCAGTTTGAACCCTGGGCTGGAGGACGCACGTACACACAGAAAATTAAGGGACCCAGGGGCCGAATGGAAACGCCGGGGGAGTCTTTCGCCCTTTCTCTACTCTCTCTCTCTCTCTCTCTCCTCGTCCCTCCCTTCTCCCGTCTCAGAGTTTCCACAACTTTGAAACAATTGAATTCCAAGACGTCTTGAGGGAGAGAGTGGGCGGTGGAGTCCCATTACGAGAATTACATAATGAATCCGTCAGACGTGAAAGAAAAGAAAAAAAAAGAAAAAAAAAAAAGGAAACGTTGGTTGACAGTCTAGGCTCGTTCAACTCGACCGGTCTTTTCCTTTTGCGGCTGCCGATGGAATTTGGGCTCGAACAAAGGAGGGAATTCCGCGAGGATAGCCTTCCTTCTCTCTGTCTTTCGATGCCATTCAGTCCCCTTCGAATTCAAGACGCGTTCTTGTCCATCCACGAGTCTCCCTCCGAGTCTTATCTGGTTATATCAATTAGAGTCGGTGCCTTTCTGTCCTCCCGCGTTTGCATTCTTTTCGTCGTTCATCGTGGACACTGCCTAGGAGGAGAGCAAACTCGTGACGATCGTGTCCCTACCGACACTTCCGGCCGATTAGACTCTAATTGGAAGATCCATGAGATCGTGGATCATAGCGATGAAAGTATATTCCATCCATGATTGGACGTAGAACCTTCGATGGGTAGCTGTATTGATTGACATTGATCAACACTGTAGAATCGATAATTTTACATGGACGTCGAAGCAGAAATCGGAGTTCGGACACAAGTTTCGTTGGAAAATCGTGGTAGGCACGTTTCCTGTTTCTCTTCGTTTCAAAGAAAGGAGAAATGGCACTTTGCTCGTCGGGTTTACGGCCAAGGATCGTTAGTTCGTCGAGTTT